TTGTTGTTTTGATTTGCATCTCTCGGATGATTAGTGACTTTGAGCATGTTTTCATATGTCTCTTGGCTTTCTGAATGTCCTCTTTTGAAAGGTGTCTATTTAGATCCTTTGCCCATTTTTTGATTGGATTGTTTATCTTCCTTTTGTTAAGTTGTATGAGTTCCCTATAAATTTTGGAGATTAGGCCCTTATCAGATATGACATTGGCAAATATGTTTTCCCACGCAGTGGGTTAATTGTGTAGTTTCTCATTGTCTGTGAGGTTTTGTTTGTTTGTTTGTTTGTTTTATGGATTTCAGAGAGGAAGGGAGAGGGAGAGAGAGGAAAAAAAACATCAGTGATGAGAAAGAATCATTGATCCCCTGCTTCCTCCACGCCCCCTACTGGAGACCCAGCCTGAAACCCAAACTCATAGGTCGACGCTCAGCCACTCATTGAGTTTGATTTGCATTTCCTTGATTGTGAGTGATGTTGAGCATCTTTTCATCTACTATCTGATGTCCATCTGTATGTCCTCTGAAGAAATGTCTCCACATCCTCTGCCCATGTGTTAATCAGATAGTTTCATTTTTTTAATATATTTTATTGATTTTTTACAGAGAGGAAGGGAGAGGGATAGAGAGTTAGAAACATCGATGAGAGAGAAACATCAGCAAGAGAAACATCCAGCTGCCTCCTGCACACTCCCTACTGGGGATGTGCCCACAACCAAGGTACATGCCCTTGGCCGGAATCAAACCTGGGACCCTTGAGTCTACTCACTCTGTCTGTAACCTATATATTTAAAAGCCAACTATAGACTCACTGTGTCATTTCACCTATACATCTCAGTATCTCTAAAGATAAGAACTCATAAAAATTAATCACAATACCTTTATTACAAACATAGCAGTAGTTACTTAATGTTAATAATATCTAATTAATTTTCTCAGAAGTGTAACAATTTTTAATAGTTTGGTTTTTTGACTCAGAATCTAAGTGAGGTTTCCTAAGAGAGGGGGAGAGAGAGCGAGAGAGAATACGTCATTCAAAAATGAGAAAACTGAATAAGGCCTGTAATCTAATTGACAATATAATTGCAATATCAATTTCCTGATTTGACATTGTACTAGTTACATAAGATGTCATCATTGGTTGAAGATGGGTGAAGGGTTTACAGGAATCTATGTACTATTTTTATAACTTTATGTCTATAATTATTTCAACAAAAGAATTTTAAAAGGGAAAACAATCAATTATGTTCATCTGAATAACAACCAAATAGTTGAAAAATGTATTTTATATTGAAAAGCATAAACTACCTACAAATTAATCTAACCAAAGATGTACTTTTACAAAGAAAATCATAAAGCTTTATTAACATAAATAAGAAAGATAACCTACATAAATGAAGAGATATTATACTAATAAATATTTAGAAGCCTCAAATAATGTACAGATAGCAAGTCTTCCCACACTGTTTATGAAGTTAATACAATTCTAATCAAGACTAGGTTTCGATTTTTAAAGAAACATGAACACTTTTATAAAATTACTAGAGGTCTGGTGCACTGCGGGGGGGGGGGGGCCCCTCCCCTCAGCCTGGCCTGTGCCCTCTTGCAGTCTGGTACCCCTCAGGGGATGTCCCAGACTGCTGGCTTAGGCCCACTCCCTGGGGGATCGGGCCCAAGATAGCAGTCAGACATCCCTCTGGCAGCCCAGGAGCCCTCGGGGGATGTCCACTTGCCAGCGGAGACCAGGCCTAAGCTGCAGTCGGACATCCTTAGTGCTGCTGAGGAGGCGGGAGAGGCTCCCACCATCACTGCTGTGCTGGCAGCCATCAGCCTGGCTTGTGGCTGAGCAGAGCTCCCCCTGTGGGAGCGCACTGACCACCAGGGGGCAGCTTCTGCATTGAGCGTCTGTCCCCTGGTGGTCAGTGTGTGTCATAGTGACCAGTCATTCCCAGTCGTTCTGCTGTTCGGTTCAATTTTCAGTTAACTGCAACCTAATGCCAAGAGGCAGCTCTTTATTAATTACCAAATAGTCTGTGTGACCAAGAACTAACATGTTTAAATTCACTCAGCTCTATCCTCATGGGCCTAAACATTTAATACCTCCAAAGAGATTGTCAGGATAGGCTTTGTATACTTTTGTTGGTTATTTAGAGTCTTGTGGTGTGTTTTTGGTATAGGAATGTCATGGTAAATTGTTTTTCAATAAATATTTTGAAACTAAAAAACAAAACTAAAAATAATGTTTAAAGATGGAGGGATGGTACATAGTGCTAATTACTTCAGAAACACGTATCACTGAAACATACAAAATGACCTCAGCAAATATCTCTTGGCCTTGGAAAGGTGATCTTGAAAGAAGTTTCCAGAGAATAGACATGAACACCAAACTACAAGGCAAGAGAAAAAGGTGGAAAGGAGAGGGAAGGAGAAGGAAGGAGCAATACAAGAGAGAAAGGAGGGGCAGGAGAAAGAAATTGGCTCTTCAATTGTTATTGGAAATCAATGGGGGAAAGATACTGATATATAGCTGCTCCTCAGGTTAAACGAGTGTCAAATAAATTAACCTAATTCCTTTCCCCTGTAGAATTCAATTACTCACATTTAAGGTAGGACATATACCAGTGATGGTGAACCTATGACATAATATATATATTATTTATATATAATACATAATATATATATAATA